GGTAGTATATATATATATATATATATATATATATATATATATATACATTTTTATGTTTTTTCACTCCTTTCTTTTGGCAAAAGATCACTTACATGTGGTCTTTATTATAATAGAATAAATTTCAAAATAAAAGCAAGATAACAATAAAACCAAGATCTTGACAACTTGATGTCATTGAAACAACTATATACTATGCTTGAGAATAAAAGATAATATTGCAAGAAACAAAATGAAGAGTGTTGGAGATTACCTCAACTGGGCTTATTACACCCCACACTGAGTCACCACCACCCGATGGCGCGGGATCAACGGTCTAGCTTTAATCTCGAACTATGAAAACAAATTTCAGCCAAGCCACACCAATGGAACATGAACTCCTTTGATCACAAACTCAAACCCTAGATGAATTCTCTTGGCAACCTAGTTTGAGAGAGATGGATTCTCTTTTTGCTAAACCCTAAAACCCTTAGTCATAAATCCATATTTGAGAGATAAGAGAGAAAAAAACTCCATTATCTTTTTGATAAAGATAATATCTTTTTATAGGCTTTGAATAAAATTAGGGTTTCTTAGGGTTTTTTTTGGCTTGCCTCTTCGTATGAGATTGAACATAGACCGTTGATCAAAGATGACTTGTGGGGTGAGAGATCTGAGCAATCCATTCCATAGATGGGTCATCAACATTATGGAAGGTGCATGAACCATTATCCCCCTTTCCTAAACCATTTTCTCATCGATAGAAATTAAATAAATTCAATCTAATCAAAATATTATGCATATCATAGATAACACAAGTCTACTCAATCTTTTCACTAAATATTTCAAAGATATATCAAGTCAATATTTAATCAATATCTTCCAACCATATTTCAAAAATATATCAAGTCAATATTTAATCAATATCTTCCAACCATATGGCCACATGCCATATCACCAAAAAAATAGGAAAAAAAATAAGGGCAGGGCGTGCCACCCAAGGGAGGTACTCATGGGCTCCACCTTCTAAAAATATGGCAGATCCATGTGCACAATGGGCCCCCATGATATTTTATATATTTAAAATTAATAAAAGGATTTTAGAATATTATTTGAATAGTTAAACAATTGTACAAGCAATATCTTTAATTTTATAAATCCAAAAATTATAAATAAAATATCCAAGGGTTCATAAAAAATTCAAATAATAGTCTTAAAATAAATTTCATAATAAAACAAAAACAATTAAATAAATTTGATGGGAAAATGATTCATATAGTTTAGGAATCAACAATCATGAGGCACTCCACCTTCAACTGCGGACTCCAGACCACACTTGCTTTATCAGATCGACCCAGTGTTTCCCATGAACCATAGTCAAAGTAGGGACTCATTAGCGGGTTGTCAAAGTCCGACTGATGAGCCAAGGGATCGTAATCCCAGTCTGTGGATTTCAGGTCCTCCCTTAGAGACGAGTCAAGGTCACCTAGACCTGATGCGACCATAGCTCTTATGGTGCATAGGGTATCTCTCGCACATGCACACGCTTTACCCTAAAAGGTGGAATTCTGGCTTTCTCGAACGATCTATCGATATGCATGCCGTGTGATGGCACATGGATGACACTTTGGCCCCCGTCTCTGTAGGCCACCATCACACACAAGGGTCACACAGTCCTTCGACTCACTCATCCGGGCATATTCTGAGACATCATCAAGGGCTAACTCATTAGAACCCTTCTCGATTTGTTCTTTATGCCCAGGTAATATGAGTTTTTCCCAATCGACTGGTCTAGATCGTCAAGCACAGTCCGGTATCTGCAAACATCGTTTGCTTAGTATGGTCCACGAGGGACTACACTCCCAATGAGTTCATATTTCACTATATCATTTCAGTTTACAAGTACTCATAAGGTCTTTAAAGGCCATATAAATCCAACATCTCCCACTTGACCTTTGAAGGCCTTACATTCTCTCTTTCTCACTTTCTCTCATTCCCATCTCTCTCTCCCAATTACAGTCTCCCTCAAGCATTTTTTCTTATTCTCTCAATACATTAATTATGCCGTTCGCCATCAATCATTTCACAAAAGGATTTCTAGAGGCAACACATTTTTCTCGTTGCTGTTCGGATCTCATCCCAAAAATGGTCGTAGCTCATCTTTCGCATCGCATTGCGAATCATGGACCTGTTATTGTAAAAGACCATCACGTACCCTCATCGCATGGGGTCGTATGTTCATGGGCTTAAAAGAGTTCA